TGGTTAAGTTTTTCTTTAGTAGGATATTGGACTATTTCAATTCCCTGAAGCTGCAAATTGGAGGTACCATTGTGACCAGGACTGGTTTTACATGAGATGATAATGAGTAGGACCAGAAGAGCAGTCCAATAACAATATAATATCATTTTTTGTGTTTTCACATATTGCTCTTTTGATGGTCACCTAAATATTCTGTTTTTGATGGGTGCTGAAGTTTTCTTGCCTTTTTGCAGTTTATCACCTTTAGAATTTCTATTTTGAAAGTTTTCTGGCAATTCAGGGAGGATATTTGTTGACTTTTGTTACCTTTTTTATGTAGGCAATCCATTTGATACTTTTTCTGATTAGTTTGTAGCCATTATAAACTGTAATTAATACGTGTGTTTGCAAATTATGTGTTATAATGTTTCTGTTGACTGTCGAAAACTATTTTTATATATCAGTCTTTACATTACTTGATTTCCAAATCAAAAGTGCAGCAAACAACGATGGGAAGAACGTGAGTGCTGAAATGAAGGCTGAGTTGTAATAATAATGACACTAGCTTTTTTTTTTGCTTTTTTTTTCTAAAATTTTTATACCATTTCTCTTCCTGAAGTGTACAAAGACATCATGTTTTTAACTTAGATTCACCATCTTAGTCATCTTTTCTTCTTCCTACAGTTTGGGTTCTATAACAGTTCCAACACCACATCACTTATCGTGGCTGTGTTTATCTGAGCTGAAAAAGATCCCAGAATCATTGGACCCAAAGGTAATTTCAGACATTTTTTTTCTTCTTTTTTTTTGTGTGTTATAATTGTATTTTCTGAAGTAGAAGTAGTATGGTGTGTCCGAACAAAAAAGGAAACTTATCATGACCCTAGTGGGAAAGTCCAGTGTTCATAGTTTCAAGCTTCATACTCAAACCAGCTTCCTTTTGAGTCAAATGCTCTTTGTTGTTAAATGAAAGTAATAGTAATGAATGGCTGTGGAAGGTATAAAATGTGAAAAGGGAGGTGCACACTCATGCTATCATACCTGATTTCACTTAGAAGAATGAAGTGACTTCATTTGTATCCTCTAGTATCCACTGGTGAAATCAATGCTGTGTGATATTTTAATGTTATATGATTTGTGGTATCCTGTTCAAATGGTTTAGTTTAAGTTAATAGAAGTGGAACAGGAAGGAGACAAGACACATTCTGAACTTTGCTCACTGTTCCTACTTCTCTTTCTCTCTTTCTTCTTTCTTTCTGTCTGTCTAATAAAGAGCATTAGCTCACTAAATGTGTGTGTGTGGAGGGGGGACATAAAGACCAGGGCTGAGCATATTCCTCTTTTTCATTCATTCAACTTTAAAAAAATTCTTATTTGTAGTTTAATTGTGGTGTTGTAGTTCTGGACAATCATATCTCATAGCCTACATAAAAAAAATATATTCCAGCTTGATATTTTGGCTCTCTAACTCTCTCACAGTTCAGGAGGAGGCCAATAGAAATTGTTACCATTCTACTGTTTTAACCTTCGTTTAGGAACCTTTCTTTTTTTTGGTGATGGTTGTCTTTAGTTATGTACTGAGCTATTTGGGAAGACTTGCATTCTTTTTTATGCAATTTTTATTCTTTCCAGCTCAAGTCAGGCATAGACAGATTAATCAAAGACGTTGACTTCCGCTTGACTTTAGCTCAGCTGAAAGATGCAGATACCAAAGTCATTCAGGTAAAACCACATGCATTAGTTTGAGAAGCTTTCTTGAATGATAAATTCAAATAATGAGTTGAGCATAGTGTTTCAATTTGGAATGTAGGTTTTTTTTGTTTTTTTTTGTAAAGTGTTTTACGGCGCTCGCAACTGCATAACTGTCCTCAGAGAAAGTTGCATTTGAAAATAGCAAAAGTTGCAAAAAGTTGCAAGAAAAATCAAGAAAAGTTGCAAGAAAAGTTGCAAGACTTGTATAGCTAAAATGTCATGGAATTATTGGAATACATTGTTGGTATGCTCATTGCAATCAAAGAAACCAAAGTGAGTTTTGTTAGATCAAACTCAAAAGTTAAATGTGAATGTCTACCGTACAAAAAAAAAAATTTTAAAAAAAAATCCCAACTGCATGGAGGTTGCATGGTGTACAAAAACAGTGTGTCCCCTGACACATGTGTCAGGTCCTTGCACTCTCGCTGACGTTGGGCAGGTGCGTGGTTTGGGGCTGTTCAAATATAATCTTACACCTTTTTGGGGATTTTTGCCCC